CGCAGCTCGGCTGTCCAGTCTTCGGCAAGCTCATCTCCTTGGTTCTCATTGGTTGATGGGTTATGGATTCCCTCGGTTATGTGTTCGAAGTCGTGGTCGTCAATTGAATCTTCGGGAACTTGCTCGGGATCCCTGCTCGCGCATGCCGGATTCCTTCGTTGTGTTTTTGGCGGGATCGAGTTTGGGTTTTCGTCGTAGTTCCGTCGCCGAGTGGCAACGTTGCATTCTTGTACGGTTTTGATGCTTGGCTCTGAGATGCTCTCGACCGGGATTTTTCTTTTCATGTGCAGGTCGGAATTGGAGGCTAGAGCGGCTAAGACATCTGCTGACGAATTCTCTCCGCGAGGGATTTTTGTGAGTTCAAACGTTTCAAACCCCGAAATGAGCGCCTTAGTTGCTCTTAAGTATGCATCCATTCGATCGTTTTTTGTCGTGTATTCGCCACTTAGCTGGCTTGCAACGAGCTGTGAATCGCAAAAGGCGTGAAGATGTTTTACGCTGACCTCCTTGGCTAATCGCAGTCCGGCAAGTAAAGCTTCGTATTCGGACTTATTGTTGGATGCTGGGAATTCAAGACGGAATGATTGTTCGAGGATTTCGCCGTTTGGGGATTTTAGGCGAATTCGGACACCCGATCCTCGGTGCGATGATAACCCGTCAACGTGCAATGTCCACAGTTCGCGGGGCGGCTGTTCGATGACGAATTCTTTAGGAAGCTCGATCAGAAAGTCGGCCAGTACTTGGGTGGGACTTTGCACTGATTCGATTCTTGTATTCTATGTCGTATTCGCTTAGCTCGACGGCCCATTTCACGAGGCGACCTGACTGGCTTGGACTATGCAGAATGGTGCGGAGTGGCTGGTCGGTCAGGACCGTGATTGAATGAGACTGGAAGTACGGCCGAAGTTTCCGAGCAGAAACTACTACTGCAAGCGCCAATTTCTCTACGGTTGGATATCTGACCTCGGCGTCACTTAGCGACTTGCTGACATAGAATATTGGACGCTGTTCTCCCTTGTCCTCTCAGACTAGAACGCTGCTAACCGCCGTGGCGGAAATTACGATATATAAGAAAAGCGTCTCACCGTTCTCGGGCTTAGCTAGGATAGGGGGAGTCGATATATACGTTTTCAGATGCTTGAAGGCGTCTTCGCACTCTGCAATCCAAGTATGATGCTTATTACCTCATAATAACTGGTAGAACGGCAAGCACTTATCGGTCGACCTGGAAATAAATCTGTTCAGAGCGGCGATCTGGCCTGTGAGTTTTTGTACTTCCCTTTTTGAAGTCGGGGAAGGTAGGTCCAAGACTGCAGATATCTGCTTAGGGTTGGCCTCAATGCCACGCTCGGTGACGATATAGCCGAGGAACTCGCCTGCTGTTACGCCGAATGTGCACTTTGCGGGATTGAATTTCATCCCGTACTCGTTAAGGATGTCGAAACACGTTGACAGGTGTGTTATGTGGTCCTTGGCGTACAGAGACTTAACCAGCATATCGTCAATGTATACCTCCATCATTTTTCCGAGTTGACTGGCGAACATGCGGTTCACAAGTCTTTGGTACGTGGCGCCTGCGTTCTTGAGGCCGAAGGGCATGACCTTGTAGCAATAGATTCCCCGATCTGTGATGAACGAAGTCTTTTCCCGATCATCCGGATGCATCAGTATTTGGTTGTACTCCGAGAAGGCATCCATGAAAGATAACAGTTCGTTGTCGGCTGTCGCTTCTACCAATCGATCAATGTGGGGTAGTGGAAAACTGTCTTTGGGGCATGCTTTGTTCAGGTCGGTAAAGTCGACGCAGATCCTCCACTTTCCGTTCTTTTTCTTCACAACTACCGGGTTCGCTAGCCAGTCCGGGTACCAAACTTTCGTGATCGAGCCGGCTTTAAGTAATTTCTCAACCTCATCGTTGACTGCCCGTGCTTTCTCGGGTCCGAGCTTGCGTCTCTTCTGCTTGATCGGTTTGTATGTTGGGTCGATATTTAGTTCGTGGCAAGTGATATCTGGGTTGATTCCGGGCATGTCGCTGATGGACCATGCGAATGTTGCGACGTTCTTCTGGAGGAAACTGATGAGCGCTTCCCGAATGTTGTTGTCGAGTTCGGCCCCAATACCAACACATTTTTCTGGGTCTGTCGGGTCGATGCCGACCTGTTCAACTCGGCTCTGCTTAGGTGGACCGAACTGAATTACTGCGGCCGTGTGATCTTCCTGAAAAGGGTTGATGACGCATGTTCGCGCAAGGCTGAGCTTGCATTCGGTAAGGTGACATAATCGAGACGCGGTCTGGCTTCCTTTAAGGGTGTAGATCCCTGACGGGGTCGGGAACTTGACGCATTTGATGGAATGTCCAAGCGACGACCTTCATGTCGAACAGCCAAGGTGTTCTCAAAATAGCGTTATATATCGCCGGCTTGTTGAGAACCAAGAACTTGATCATTCGTGCCGACCCGCCGACATAGATTGGTATCTTCACCGTTCCGACTGTCCTTGTTTTCTCTCCGGTGAACCCGGTTAACGACTCCATGTAGGGCTTGATTTCAGAATCCTGGAAATCCATATTCTTAAGTGTTTTTTTGAATATGACGTTTACCGAGCTCCCAGGGTCAATTAGTATCTTGCTTACTTCGACATCTCCGAGCTGAAGTTCGACGACGAGGCAATCGTTATGAGGCATATGCACTCTCCGCAGGTCGGTATCAGTGAATAATAGTGGTACGGTGGCCATCGTTGTCAGGGGTTGCGAACTTGATGCCTGCCGGCTATATTCTTTCAGTGCTCTGACGGAGTAGTTGCATGATTCGAGGGCTCCCATAATCATGTTGACCTTCTTCCTGGTTTTCGGAACGTTAGTTTCCTGATTAGGCGCTTCGCGGTCTCATTTAGGTGGGGTGGCCTGCTCTTCGTCAGACTCAGCTGCCTTCGCAGTCTCCTGGTTGCCGGGTTTGTTTTGTCGCGGGTTCGGCCGTCGGGATCCGGGCATAGGCAAATCCGTAGTGGCGACCTCCCCCCTTGCAGAACTGTTGAAGTAAGAATTCCCTCAAATGCCGGCATTCTTCCGTGCTGTGCCCATATCGCTCGTGGTACTCGCAAAAACGTTCACTCAGCGGCATATCGTCCTCTCTGTTCCATGTATTCCAAGACTTTGGTGGCCGTCCTGACTTGTGGTTTGATGGCCCGGCCTGGTTCACTACTCCGCGTTGCCTGCCGGACTAGACTTTTGTTTCCGAGTTGTCTTTGACAGTCAATGTTTGGTCGGGCTTTGACGCTGAATACTGCCGATCCTTGGCGGCTTCCTCCTCTTCTTCCGCGATGAAAATATTCGACTTGTGAAGCGCATCCTCGAGAGTGAGTGGTCTATTCCTGCGAAGCTCCTTATGAAAGGGGGGATTTATACCACATTTTCTGGTATAGCGCTTCGAGGGCGGCTTCGTCATCCACCGTGCAGTGTGCCACGATCTGCTTGAATCGTGCCATGAAGTCTCGAAGTGACTCGGTTTCGCCTTGTGATATTTCCCACAACTCAAAGTTACGGGTTTTCTGTCCGATGAACATTGAAAAATGCTTCGCAAACTTGGTCGATAGCTCCTTGTAGTTGTCAATGGAGTCGGCTTCCAATCTCGAGAACCAATCTAGTGCGATGCCTTCAAGGTGTTCAACGAACAATTGGCATTGAATTGCGTCCTTCTGTTTGGCCGAGGTGAACTTGAGTCGATTGATTACGATGCCAAACGACGTAAGGAAATGTCTCGGATCCGAGTTTCCCTCATACGAACGCAGTTTGAACTTCTCTAGATTGGGGACGGGAACGTTGGTAATTCGGGAAGTGAATGGTTTTTTTCGGTGCTTCCTGGATTACGCGGTCGATTTCAGGTGCCGAGCTGGTGGCTTGGTGGAATTTGGAACTGATCTCTCGCAGTTGGGCCTGCATCTGTTCGATATCTAGGTCGCGCGCAGTCGGCTGAGCTCGCACTTGCTGGGATGGGCATTCGAACTGTTGTTGTTGCTGTATTACCGACCGTGCCGCTGTGTTCTGTGGGTCTCGCTCTCCCTGAAAGTCGCTGATGAGGTTTCGTCGTCTAAGCGGACTCTCTTGTTGCAAGCTAGAAATCTGTGCGGTAAGAGTCGCGAATTTGGCATCGTTGCTTCGGACCAGTTCCTGCATTTGAGCAGCGAAAGCGTTCATGAGTGTGGTTGGATCGAAGGCAGCTGTCGACACATGGCGGGTTTCAGTGCTCGAGCTCGGTTCCACTCTAGTCTGTTGCATATCAGGTTGAGGTCGCACAGGACTACGAACATCTTCGCCTATATGTCCTCCGACCTGGGTGGGGTTGTCCTCACAGATTGTCACGTGACTTCCGACCTGGGCCGAGGTCGGTTGTCTTTCGTCAGTTGTCATGTCTTCGAGGTCGATTAACGAATCGGCCCCACGGTGGGTGCCAATTGTTGATTATGGTTCTCAACTATTTAGGGTCGGTTCGGTAATTCGAGTTCGGAAGACTGATTTTATTTAATTAAGTTATAAATTTACAGTTCGTGCAGTTCGGAGATCTTTCGACGAACTGAGTACAATAATATTGAGGTCTCTATGTCTCCGGGTCCGAAAAAGATCCCTTCTACAGTAACGAGCCCTCTATTTATAGTACATTAACGAGGAGAAGATTTAGGGCTTCCCCGTCGATTCTCACCGCCTCTTGTCGCTGGGTCTGTCTCCTAGTGGGTCATGCTATCAGGCCAGGTTCATTTCGGCTAAAACTGTCGTAAACCGGGATTAAGAGTGCCGATCTCGGTCTTTAACCGGTCTGAATCGGGTAGCGGAGTGTACCACCAACAGTCTTTTGGCCTCTTTTATGACCATTGTAATCTCCAAGTGGGTTGAGTTTGAAGTCTTGCAATTTTTGGCGTTATTGTATCCTGAGTCAACTCCTAACGTTCTCGGACACTTCGTTGTTAAGAAATTCAACAGGTAAATACTCTGTATTTTCGATGAAAGTGTTAGGTGTTTTCCTAATAGTTTCCCTTTTCGTTTTGCAATCTTATATATAGAATTGAGTTTCTGTTTTTCATTCATCACTTTATTTCATTTTGATATTTCTAATTCTGTGTGATAATGGGTCAACTGTTTGAACAAGTGAGTCACAAGGATATCGAAGATACCAAATCCCTTGGCCATGAAGATGCAGGACTCGAGGTATTTCTTTTTTCTCACTACATCTTTTCAGCCCTCTTAATTATTTGATCAAATCCCTACAAATCGGAAACTTGTAAGGTTTCTATTTTTTCTGAATTTTCAATGTGTGTTTTGGATGTAGTGGGTTGATAAAGAAGGAAGAACGCCATTAATCTTAGCTTGTACGAAATCAGAGATATTTGATGGTGAAAAAACTCTGCTTTAGTTGGGTTCCGATGTCAATGTTTTTCGTTCTGGTAATTAATCAAGAATCTTCTTTCTTCCCCATTTTTCCCATCTCTATTGTTTTTTTCAGAGTTTGTGCTTTAGTCCTAAAATGAAAACTTGTTAACTTTTCTCTCATCAAACTGTCTTTTGAGTTAATTCTTCATTGGGGTGAATGAAATGGAGAAACTCATTAAAGTAGAATCTGGACATTTTGTGTTGTTTGTTGGTATCAGATTGCAATGGTGAGACTCCTCTGCACCATGCAACAAATATTGATCTCGAAAACACGGTTAAGTTACTTCTATCTCATGGTGGTAAGTTTTTTTAATCTCTTTCTTGCCAATTTGCGTTGGATGTGATCAAGTCTTCATCATGTTTTATTATTTTATAAAAGTCATATATTATATAATTAGGTAACTGTTTTCTGTCAAACTATTCAAAAATGTGCGAATAGATTTGGTAACTGCAAAACAGTTATACATGTATGTATGTGTCTTTACAATGGGGTGTCTTCTAAAGACATGTCCCTTGGTCAATATGTGTTTTTACAAAGGGGTGTCTTCTAGAGACATGTCCCTTAGTCAAAGTGTGTTATATAAATACTGGTTGTTTATCTAATAAGAGTGTGTGGCTTTCATTTACAAAGAATCAAGTAATACATAAAAGTATAATACATTGAGTGTTGATTAAGAAAGAGAGAGATAGAGAAAACAGAGTAAAATCTGTGTAGTCTGATCCTTAAACGATTTTGAGAGTTCAAAGTTCTACATGGTATCAGAGACATAGAGACAACTATGCAGCAAGTTATTCCTATCTTCAATGGTGAATCTTATGGCTTCTGGAAAATCAAGATGATAACCATCTTGAAAACACGAAAGTTGTGGGATGTTATCGAAAATGAAGATATGTTGAATTTGTCTACTGAAAACTCACCGGCGTTAACCAGAGAAAGAGATGATCGAATGATGAAGGATATGATGGCTCTTTAGATCCTTCAAAGTGTAGTTTTGGATTCAATATTTCCAAGAATCGCTCCCGCATCAAACGCAAGAGAAACATGGAACACTTTAGAAATGGAATTCCAAGGAAGTTCACTAGTAAAAATGATTAATCTTCAGACCTTGAGAAGAGAATATGAGAATCTGAATATTTATCTCTTTCTTGCCAATTTGTGATGGATGTGATCAAGTCTTCATCATGTTTTATTATTTTATAAAAGTGATATATTATATAATTAGGTAACTGTTTTATGTCAAACTATTCGAAAATGTGCGAAAAGATTTGGTAACTGCAAAACAGGTACACATGTATGTATGTGTCTTTACAAAGGGGTGTCTTCTAAAGACATGTCCCTTGGTCAATATGTGTCTTTACAATGGAGTATCTTCTAGAGGCATATCCCTTAGTCAAAGTGTGTCATGTAACTATAAATACTGGTTGTTTATCTAATAAAAGTGTGTGGTTTTCATTTACAATGAATCAAGTAATACATAAAAGTATAATACTTTGAGTGTTGATTAAGAAAGAGAGAGATAGAGAAAACAGAGTAAAATCTATGTTGTCCGATCCTTAAACGATTTTGAGAGTTCAAAGTTCTACATGGTATCAGAGACATGGAGACAACTATGCAGCAAGTTATTCCTATCTTCAATGGTGAATCTTATGGCTTTTGGAAAATCAAGATGATAACCATCTTGAAAACACGAAAGTTGTGGGATGTTATCGAAAATGAAGATATGTTGAATTTGTCTACTGAAAACTCATCGGCGTTAACCAGAGAAAGAGATGATCGAATGATGAAGGATATGATGGCTCTTCAGATCCTTCAAAGTGCAGTTTTGGATTCAATATTTCCGAGAATCGCTACCGCATCAAACGCAAGAGAAGCATAGAACGCTTTGGAAATGGAGTTCCAAGGAAGTTCACAAGTAAAGATGATTAATCTTCAAACCTTGAGAAGAGAATATGAGAATCTGAAGATGGAGGAAAGTGAAACCATAAATGATTTCAAAACCAAGTTGGTTAACATGAGTAATCAACTTAGAGTTCATGGTGAAGAGAATACTGATTACCAATTGGTTCAAAAGGTTCTTTTCTCCTTGCTGCAAAAGTTGGATAGCATCGTTACTGTCCTTAAACAAACAAAAGATCTATCAACTCTCTCTATGACATAGATGATAGGTACTTTGAAAGCGCATGAGAGGCGCTTAAGTCTCCGAGAAGATCGTATCAATGAGTGTGCATTTTATGGAGAAAAGCTTGACTCAAGAGGAGGAAACAAGCAAAAAAAGTATTCGCCATGGGAAGACCAACATGTGGTGTGGCGTGTGTAAGAAGAAAAATCACAATGAGGTAGATTATTTCAGAAAGAAAAGTGAAAGCATTTCACAAGAGGTGCAAACGATGAGAAGATGTTATGTGTGCGACAAGCCAGGGCACATAGCCAGAGATTGTAAACTTAGAAAAGGTGAAAGAGCACATCTAAGTATTGAAGAATCAGAAGATGAAGATGAAGATGAGTGTCATATGCTCTTTAGTGCTGTTGAAGAAAAAGAGATCTCAACAATTGGAGAAGAAACGTGGTAGGTAGATAGCCGATGCACCAATCGCATGTCTAAAGATGTTAGACACTTCATCACTTTGGATCGCAGCAAGAAAATTATCATAAAGATTGGTAACGGTGGAAAGGTCGTGTCCGAAGGCAAAGGAGATATAAGAGTATCCACAAACAAAAGAGATCATGTCATCAAAGGTGTATTTTATGTACCCAAACTAGTAAGAAATTTGCTTAGTGTCTCTCAAATGATATCCAACGGATATCGAGTCATCTTTGAAGACAATAAATGTGTGATTCAAGATTTTTAAAAAAGGAAGATCTTGGACATCAATATGAAGGACAGAAGTTTTCCAATTCTTTGGAAAAAAATCAAGAGAAGAAGCGTATGTGGCTTTCACTACAAGAAAGAGGGGGTTTTCCGTCGAATTATTTACGATGATTTGTAGTCGTCGTAAATTTATGACGATATTACGTCGTATTTACGACGATCAAAAATTTCGTCGTAAATTCGACGTAAAAAATAAGCCTTGTAAAATCGTCGTAATGTTACGACGATATTACGACGAATAAAGAACGAATTTTATTTCGTCGTAATGTTGTCGTAATATTTGCATCGATAATACGACGAATTGTCCTCTATCTTGTAATTGACGTAAAATCGATGTAAATGTGATGTAAATTTTATTTCGACGTAAATTTGATGTAAATATGCAATGGTAATATGTTGGTAACCAAACAAAAAATTCTATATATACCCTTTCTTCTCTCATTATTTCATCAACCCAAAAAAACATATAAAGACACAAATTTTTTGAGTCTTTGAATGTTGAAGTAAAATTTTTAGTAGTTGAAATTTATATCAAATTTCAAAAACAAAAAGTCAAATATTTGTTTTTGAAATGTCTATATACGATCTACGAAAGTGGATGTATACGCCCAAAAATGGTGATGGGTCGTTGACTGAAGACTTCAAAAACGGATTGGAAATATTCATGTACCAAGCCGGCCTTATGCAAACTGTAATTGAAAGCGGCAAAATGTATTGTCCTTGTGTGAAATGCAAAAATAGGAAACATATTCCTATTGACACTGTCTGGCAGCATTTATTGAATAGAGGGTTCATGCCCCAATACTTTATTTGGTATCAGCATGGAGAGGGATATGGTCAAAGTAGTGGTCAGATGGCTGCACGGAGTAGTAGTAATCATCAAGAACATGTGGATTTTGAAGCGTCAAATGATTATCAAAGTAGTCAAGTTCAGGGTGAAGATCATGATAGGATGCATGAAATGGTTACTGATGCATTTCATGAAACACATGCTGATACTGTTGAGGAGCCCAATGCAGATGCGAAACGCTTTTATGATATGTTAAACGCAGCAAAACAGCCTCTGTACGAGGGATGTAGGGAAGGTTTATCAAAATTATCATTGGCAGATCGGATGATGACAATAAAAACTGATCACAATCTATCTGAAGTTTGCATGAACGATTGGGCAGATCTTATTAAAGAGTACTTGCCAGATGATAATTTGGCTGCTGAAACGTATTATGAAATTCAGAAGCTGGTTTTTAGTCTTGGATTGCCTTCTGAGATGATTGATGTTTGTGTTGATAATTGTATGCTTTTTTGGAGAGATGATGAGAAGCTTGAAGAATGTCGTTTCTGCCAAAAGCCAAGATATAGACCGCAAATTGCTGGGCGTAAGAAGATTCCTTACCAACAAATGTGGTATCTTCCTATCACTGATAGGTTAAAAAGATTATATCAATCTGAACGGACAGCTGCGTCGATGAGATGGCATGCAGAACATTCACAAACAGATGGCAAAATGACTCACCCGTCTGACGGGAAATCTTGGAAACATTTTAACACCGTACATCCAGACTTTGCTAGGTCTAAGCGAAATGTTTATCTTGGTCTTTGCACTGACGGGTTTAGTCCATTTGGTATGTCTGGTAGGCAATATTCATTATGGCATGTGATTCTTACGCCATATAACCTTCCTCCAGATATGTGCATGCAAAGAGAGTTTTTGTTTCTAAGTATATTAGTCCCTGGTCCAAATCACCCGAAGCGGGCCCTTGATGTGTTTTTGCAACCACTCATACATGAGTTAAACCAGTTGTGGCATGTTGGAGTACGAACATATGACTGTTCGAGTGGTAAAAATTTTACGATGCGAGCGGTGCTTATGTGGAAAATAAGCGATTTCCCAGCATACGGAATGCTATCAGGTTGGACAAGTCACCTTTGTTCCATATCCTCGAGTTCGGAGTACGGGAATTTCATGGCTGGCGGTTGTCAAAGTTGCTCCAAGGGGTATAATTGATGGTGTAGATCTCCCGCCAATGCAACAAGATGATTGTGTCGACATTACAGAACCTGATGTTGAAGAAAATGTTCTTTTAATTGATCCACGTAATCGACAAGTTGAAGATTTACATGGGGACGAAACAGAAGAAGGTGCTGACGAATTTCAAACAAGCAGTGATGATGACGATGATGATGAGGAGAACGAGGAAAATATTGAAGACTAATTAATTAAGTATGATGTTGGCATTTATATAATTGCATGCTTTGAACGTTTAAATGTAACATTTGTCAAATTTGATAAATTTGTTTAAAAAATGAAAGACAATTAATGAAAAGAAAATTTGTTTAAGTGTTGATTTGGACATATGTTGACTATTACGACGAATTTACGACGAATCACACCCATTCGTCGTAAATTCGTCGTAAAATACCATCGAGTTTACGACGAAATGTAACCCCTAAAACTTATAATCAATCTTTTCTGGGGTTCAGGAGGGGATTTAGATGAAGAGAATGATATGGCTTACCATCTCATAAGGTAAAACAACTTTCTAAACAACAAAAAAAAATTTCAAAATTTGACATATATGTGTTTATCAAGTAATTTTAAGGTGTTATATACATTTAGAGAAGATGTAAGGATTTATCTTAGATCAAACCAAATTCTTGATTATCTTATGTAAACATGCTAGAAAGTTATACAGACCACATTTAGCATGTATAGACATGCTTGTATGTGCTTATGGATGTTTCAATTTTTGTAATTCATCATTTTCGTACATACCATCGTAAAATCGTCGTAATATTACGACGATTTTACGACGATATGTAAATACATAGCCGTTATAATTTTTATGATTTATAAGGATTTATCGTAAATTCATCGTAATTTTACGACGATTTTACGACAACTAACCCTGACCGTCGTAAATTCGTCGCAAAGCCCAGATACAGCCACGTGTGTTTGTCTTATTCGCTTTGTTGTACGGTTGCACCTTTACGACGGATTTACGACAATTTCGTCGTAAATTCGTCGTCATGTTTACGTCGGATTTACGACGAATAAAAATTCTATATATATGGAAGCACCCCTTCCTCATTTCGTCGCTCATTCAACTTCTTCCTCTCCCTGCTTCCTCCTCACTTCGTTGCTTCCCTGCAAACCCAAAAAATCAGGTAATTTTTTTTTACTTAAAATCTAATTTTTATTTTTAATTAGTTTAGAAATACAAACGGTTTAGGTCGGAAATTAGTTTAGGCTCGGAATTTGTTAGATTTAGGATCAGAAGTTGTTAGATTAAGGATTTACGGTGTTTGTTAGATTTAGGATCATAATTTAAAATTAATTTGTAATTTCAAAAATAAAAATTTTCCGGTTTTGCAGACGATGACTCGACGGAGGACGCACTACATCAACTTTGTGGCGGACGGACACTCTTCCCGGGCGTCTGCCTCGGGGAACACCAGGACCGATGTCCCTTCATCTTCCGGAGCCTCCCAGGTTCCGAATACCGTAGCGGAGCAGTCTCCACCACCGCCTCCACCACCACCTCCACCACCACCTCCACCGCCGGCTGAAGAACCGGTAGCCCACCCTCCTCATCCGTATGCCCAATTTACGGTTGAGGACTTACTAGCCCTACCGGGACGGGGGGGCTTTACGACGTCTGGTTCCCGGAAAAGCGGAACCAGGCTCTTATTGGTAAGTAAAATTTTTTGTTTTTTATATTTTTTTAAATTAATGCTTTAATTTACTTAAATATTAATGTAATGTTTTTTTTTTGGTTTCATAGGTTTAACTTGGATAATTGTGTCGGTCGGAGCGTTTCCGACACAATTAAGAGTCATTTCGTTGAGCCGCACTACAACTGGAGCAAGGTGTCGCAAGAGACGTTCGACACTTGGTACAAGTGCTTCGCGGTAATGTTTTTTAAATCTTATTTATATCATTTCAAATTATTTTAAATTTAATTAATCTTACTTTTATATTGTTTATATAATTTTTAATTTGTTTTCTTTTGCAGCAACGGTGGAACTGGGACATCGGGATCAACGAGACGGTACGCGAAGCTTTCCGGCTGAAGGCGCAGAAACGCCTAGTCAACACCGTTTCCGATTGGAAGCGGAAGTGGGAGACCGATGGCGACGACGCAAAGCCGAGCTCCATGTCCATTTTCTGTTGGAACGGGTTGAAGGCGTATTGGCTGGACCCGCATGTCCAAACCACTGCGGCTAAGTGTTCGGCCGTCCGAAACCGGGTCGGTCCTGACGGTCAGAAGTTAGTGACCCCGCACACTTCTGGCCAAATATCTTTTGCGGGAAGACGTCTCATGATGATAAGTAATTAAATATAAATTATTTCATTATTATTTCATTTTTAATTATTGCTATAATTTATTAAATATTTTTGACTAATGTTTATTAATTGGTAGGCCGAGGAGAACGGAGGAGAACTTCCTCCAATGACGAAGCTCTTCGAGACCACTCACCGGAAGAGGGACGGGAGCTTTGTCGACGCTCGGTCAGAGGAGATCTACAATGCCGCTATTCAGCGGATCGCCGAGCGGGAGATCCAGGCCACACCTGACGGTACTATCCAAGTACCGTTGACTGTCGCTGAGCAAGACCAGATTTTCGAGGAGGTATGATCTATTTCAATTTTTAAAAATTTATTATATTTATTACTTAATAAATAATTAACGATTTTATTTCCATTTGTAGGTTGCTCCGAAGAAGAAGGGCCGAACCTTAGGGATGGGCTCTATTAGAGACTGTCCTGCCGCCTCGGCTTCCGGATTTCGCACGCAGGAGGATCCAAGTCATCTTCGCCAGGAGCTTGCTACGGCCAATGCTGAGATCACCACTCTCAGGCATGAGCAAGTGGCCCAGAAGCAGGAGCTCACCGAGATTCACGATCTCTTCGACATCATTGCGGAAGCGGTTCCGCAGTTGACCACCGCAATCCGAGCGAGGCAACAGCGAGCACGAGGCGTCTTTGAGGCCGGTGGTACTTCCGGTAGACCATCGGACCAGCAGACGCAGGGTCAGTCTTCGGCTCCGGTAGTGCAGACGGGAAACGACGGTCCAGCAGCGACGGGCGGCCAAGACGGAGAGCCTCCTCGTGACGTCGATCTCAACTTCGACGATTACGAAATCACATTGTAGATTAGGTTTTTTTGTAAAAAACAATTTGTATTAAATTTTTTTATATATAAATTATTTTCGAATTTAAATTTTAATTTAAAATGTTTTTTTCTATTTTAAATTTTTTGATTATTTTAAAAATTCATTAATTAAATTAAAATCGAATTAAATAATTAATTTATAAATCGATGTAAATTCGTCGTAAATTTACGTCGATCTAACGTCGAACATTTTACGACGAATTTACGTCGAATATGTTTACGTCGAATCTACGTCGAAACTTTACGACGAATTAACATCGATAATTAAAAAATTAATTTTTCTTAATTGAAATTGTTCGTCTCCTAATCGTTGTTAAATCGATATAATTTTACATCGATTTTACGTCGTTCTTATGATGGACTTATTTCGTTGTACTTTCGTTGGAAAATTTACGTCGAGTTTACGACGAATAGTTTCCGACGATATTACGACGATCCTGGGTTGGTAATTTTACGACGATTTTACGACGATTTCGGTTTTACGACGATTGTTTTACGATGATTTTTTATTCGTCGTTAATTCGACGTAAATGCTCTTTTACGTCGATTTTACGTCGATATCTGCCGACGTAAAACCTGATCTTTCTTGTAGTGTTTCGAAGAAAAAGAAGAACAAACAAATCTTTGGCACAAGCATTTTGGTCATATGAATTATGACAAGATGAAGATAATGCAAACACTAAAGATTGTAGAAGATCTTCCAAAGTTTGAAGTAATAAAAGACATATGTGATGTTTGTGAGATGGAAAAACAATCAAGGAGGAGTTTTCCAAAGAAATCTTTAAGCAACACAAACAAAACTTTGGAGCTTATTCATTCGGACGTGTGTGGTCCAATGCAAACGGAGTCAATAAATGGGAACAAGTACTTCCTCACGTTTATTGATAATTTCTCAAGGATGACTTGGGTATATTTTTTTGACGAACAAGAGTGAAGTGATCACAAAATTCAATATATTCAAGCCTTATGTGGAGAACCAATTGGAGAATCAGATCAAAAGGCTTAGAACAGATGGATGTGGTGAATTTCTATCAAGAGAATTCATCAAACTATGTCAAAAGAGTGGCATACATCATGAGATAACAACACCCTACACTCCACAACAGAACGGTGTTGCGGAGAGACAGAACCGTACGCTTGTTGAAATGGCTAGATCGATGCTCACGGAGAGGAGTTTTTCAAACAAGTTTTGGGCTGAAGCCATTGCAACATCAACTTATTAGCAAAATAGACTACCATCTAAGCCTTTGGAGAAAGGCGTGACTCCATTAGAAGTATGAAGTGGGAAGAAACCAAGTGTTAATCACTTGAAGATATTTGGGTGTGTATGTTACGTACACGTTCCAAATGAGAAGAGAAGAAAACTCGACGCTAAAGCCAAGCAAGGGATATTCGTTGGTTATAGCAATGAATCAAAAGGATACAGAGTGTTCTTACTCAATGAAGAGAAGATCGAAGTGTCAAGAGATGTGACATTTGATGAAGAGAAGACATGGAATTGGGATAAGAAGGAAGTGAAGAAATCAATTCTTTCACCATTCAAGATCAAGTCTTCAAGGGAACAAGGAGATTAAGGAGCAAATAACGATATAAATGCTCAAGTAGATCAAATAAGTGATGCATTCAACCAATTAAAAATCTCAAATAGAGGAGTTCAGAACACGATTGAAGAAGGAGAAACATCTGTTGGTCTAAGAGGACTCAGATCGATCAACGATTTGATGCAACAAACAAATGAAGTTGAAGAGATGGCTCATATACACGAGATGTGTCTTATGATGGCCGAAGAACCTCAGGCTTTGGAGGAAGCAATGAAGAACTAGGTGTAGTGATGAAGCCATGATCAAAGAGGAGTGTTGGATGTGATCAAGTATTCATCATGTTTTATTATTTTATAAAAATCATATATTATATAACTAGGTAACTGTTTTATGTCAAACTATTCGAAAAGGTGCGAATAGATTTGGTAACTCCAAAACAGTTACACATGTATGTATGTGTCTTTACAATGGGGTGTCTTCTAAAGACATGTCCCTTGATCAATGTGTGTCTTTACAATGGGGTGTCTTCTAGAGACATGTCTCTTAGTCAAAGTGTGTCATGTAACTATAAATACTGACTGTTTATCTAATAAAAGTGTGTGGTTTTCATTTACAAAGAATCAAGTAATACATAAAAGTATAATACATTGAATATTGATTAAGAAAGAAAGAGATAGAGAAAACAGAGTAAAATCCGTGTTTCCGATCCCTAAACGATTTTGAGAGTTCAAAGTTCTACAATTTGATGACTGAAAAGTATTAGTAATCTATTTAGTGTTCAATTAACATTTGGCATGTCTGTTTTTTTTTTTTAATTTCCATGCAGAAAATCCAATGGTTCGGAACGATGATTTTTTAACACCCCTTAAGGTTGCTAGAGCTAAAGGTTACAGTAATATTGTACGCACCATTGAGGTATATTCTTGTAACATTTATTTCGTATTTTCAGCGATTGGCTAGTAAACTACCTGAAACGTCATGAGCTATAACTTTTTTAAACTGTTTTGATTCTGTAGAGTCACATATGTTTGTTCTTTTATGTTGATGATGATGATATATATAGGATGCACAACCAAGGGCGGTGATCCCTTTGTGGAAAGCCAAGTTGGAGGAACCAAAATCAGATCAGTCTGATGCTTCAGTGATGATTGGTAATAACTCCACAAGTAATTTTCTTGATATTTTCCCACGTTCATGGAATCTGTTTCTTTCCATGTTGATTAAAACTTTCTTATCATGCATAGGTCCAACGCGCAAGAGGCAAAGAAGAAGGGGATACATCTCTCATGCAAGACGTTGGGCTCAAGTAGATTGGCGTAAGTGTTGAAAGTTTTGTACTGTCTAACCATGAAAAACTGTTACAAGAAGAAGGCATAAAACCATTCTGGTTTAATTGAATCTGTTATGTGAAGTAGAAACATAACTCTTTTATTTGGTTTTAATCTCGAATTTTTTTAGATATGCGGCTTAAGCTGGCAGCTGCGAAGAAAGGCGACATGCAACAGCTGAATTGGCTTTGCGAGGCATGTAAAGGAATTCCACAGGTATATATGGCCACAAAATACAACTTTGGAGTTAAGATATTTGCTAATTTGTGTGCCTCATTTAAAACTTTTGATACTAATTTGTGTGCCTCTTTTATATATTGTAAGAGTGTCTTTGTATCAAGTATGAGAGTATGAAATGAAAAACAAGTTAAAATTTTATTCTCTCAAACTTACAAAACACCAAATGAAAAAAAAAACAAAAACAGAGTATTTTGTGTGAATTACAACATTTATATAGTTACGGAAAACTGACTTTTTCATACATGAAGTATGCATAGATGTGTTTTTTATATCTGAACTAGGAGAATACCCGCACATAACGTGCGGATTTTTTTATAACTATTTTAAATCTATATAATAAATATAATCATTTAGAATTTTAATCCAAAAAAAATTTAGAAATCATAAAAATGTAATATAATAGTTATTTGTTATATGTGTTAAAATTTTAGAAATTTTGTCTAAAAAATAATATTAGAAATTAATTTAAAATGCAATATCATAAAAAATTAAGAATTATATAAAAAAAAATATTCAATCAATATCAATCAATTAATGAAAAAATTGTTCATTTTATTTGGTAGATTTAAAACTTGATATTAAAATTTATTAATTTTTTTTAAATTGTAATCTTAAATTATAAAAAACACCACATGTCATCTGTATATCAATTAAAAATGATGATCTGTGACTTAGATGGAAAGAGTGGATCATTTTTTATATAAATTTTTAATTATTTTAATTATTTTTTTTAATATTTATTTAATTTTAAGATTGTTTTTGTTATATTAGATATATATGAACTAAATTTTGTATAAATATGTATATACTGATAGACCTAAAAGACATATGGGTGTATTGAGGATCCAAATTTAACTCAAGTTCATAAATACCTATGACAATTTTTTTTAAAGTTTGTTTTTTAGGTTGTCCCACATCGACAACCTTGGATAATTGAGAAGGGGAAGCTTCACTATAAATAAGAGTATTCATCTATTCAGTAATTAAAAGTTATCAAACGAAATTGTGGGCCCATATCGAATTCTTCATGCGTTGGACACAGATGTGAAGAGTTTTTTTAATTAATATTTTAAGAGGACATGTAGCAAGTAACTGGAGAAAGTTGAACATGTTTTATAGTATAGATTATACCGTTGTGCTAAATCATTCATTAATTAAATAAAATTTGAAATTACATACTTAATCTTTTATTTTGTGATAAAACATACATTTGACTAAATTTGACTGAACAGTGTTAAGAGCATACAATTTAAAAGCTGAATTACATTGATATCAAAGATTCTAGAATCGATTCTAAGAACCTAATCCCTAAATTTTAAAATTCCCAATTCATTGTCAAGAGGTTGAAGAAAGAGGAAGACAAAAATTCCATCAAATCGTTTTGTATTAAATTATATTAGATTGTATCAGATTTTTGTAGACGACTTGGTTTCAGACTTGAAAGCCACATAGATACGGTTTAATGCTAAAATAAAAAATTATGTAATTTAAATTTTATTAAGTTAATGTATAATTTAGCTCGGTAGTATAATTTAGGTCTAAAAAAACATATATCGATACTTTATGTATGAAAAAGCTAATTTTTCACATAGTTTCATACTTATACATAGTGGATTATTAAATCGTATTTACTCAATTTTTAACACACAGTTACATATCTGTGTGTCTATATAAAGTTATAAACTTATTATCCAGATGCTAAGGAACCATACGATGTTAAACTGGCACAAAATCGGTAAAAAGATTTGCCTCACAAAACCCAGCATAATTGTTGTCCAAAAAACAAAAACCAAAGAAAAACCTACCATAATCTAGGTAAATGCAATTTGACTATTACCCTTTATTTTGTATGTGATAAGTGGCTGTTACCT